ATATGTTTTAATGGAAAGATCTTTTCAGGTATCTCACTAACTGGTGACTGTAGACTAATGTTGAGTTATTTATCTGTCATAACTACAACAACATAGGCATAAGTGGGTAGACATTTATAGATAATGTGACAATTTTGGAAATTTACTCAGCTATTCAAAAAGATTTGAATGTTATTATTCTGTGAAAAGAGAATTGTAGGACTGCAAAATGAGTTTCAATTTTCCTCGAGCCTCTGACAATAGATTTGAGCTGCATCATATGTGTGCTTAACTTACTAAATTAAACAGTACTTTTTTGCAGCCCCTCAAAACTTACTTTTCCTAAAAACTTGTCACTGCTGTTCGTTTAGGGAGCTTATATGTGCTGTCTCACAATTCCCATTTCCCTTATAGACTGTGAATGTCTCACTGTACTGAGTGTGATTCTTATAATATGCATGTTTTAAACAGCATGGCCCCATATGCAAACTAATGTCTTCAGCTGGTATCAGAAGTAATGTTTTGCTTTAATAATTGAGTAAAAGTTGCCTGTATTGAGCAGATTTGAGAGAAGGCAGAGTATGTTCTCTAACAGGTAACTCCCTAATCAAGAAAAATTGATGAACTGCAATTTTTCCCTCATAATCTTGACTTTGCAAACAAACCCCAGGGAATGGTTCTATGCAGTTACATTTCAAAGTGGTGTGATTTGTGCTGTGGTCATTTATCACCTGAAAGAGAGTTATTTGGGAAGTTAGAAAAGTGAGAGAGATAAGAGATAATTCTTCTTTCCCCCCCTTTTTTTTGTTCCTATCCGTGACCTCTATTTTCGTGTTTTCCCATCTCAAGATAAGAAAAAGAGGTGTCTCACAAAAAGTTTTAAAATACCAAAATGGGGTTTTAAGAAGTTTTTGTGAGAGTTGAGGATTTGACCACCCTTACAAAAGTAAGCAATAGCCCTGGCTGGTGTAGCTCAGTGGATTGAGCATGGGCCTGTGAACCAAACAACTGTGGTTCAATTCCCAGTCAGGGCACATGCGTGGGTTGTAGGCCAGTTCCCAGCAGGGGATGCACGAGAGGCAACCACACACTGATGTTTCTCTCCCTCTCTCTTTCCCTTCCCCTCTAAAGATAAATAAATCAAGTATTTTTTAAATAGTAAGCAATAGAAGCCATTGGTAGACTCCTAAATGCACACGCAGAGTTTATCTTAGCATGCGTTTTTACAAAATACTTCATTTTTATTTATTACTGTCAGTCTGTTTTCTCACATTCTGTGCTCCTTCCAGTACTATTTACTGCACACTTTTCCTTTCTTGTGTTTTTTTATAACTCTGAGAAATAAATTTTATGAAAGTATGTACATTTTCAGGTAAATAGCTTTATAAGGGAGATTATTGAATTCTAAATACCAATTATACAACAGTAAAAAATAGTGTTTTCTATATTTAGCTTAACTGTGTTTTATTGATCATCTGCCTTGCTGATGGCATTATTCTGGGCAACATTTAGAATGAGAGTGTATTACCTTCAGTCACCAAAGAGCAACAGCAGTTGTTAAATAATTCTTATTTTTGTTCTTTCAGATTTTCGTTAAAATGTTTGTGGCCTGGCTAGGGAGCAGGGAGCCAAGGATGAGCAGTGTCCCTGGATGCTGTCTTTAGGAACTCTCAAGATGGGGAGATAAAGAGTTGAGGGAATTTTACTTTAAAAGCATAGATGAAAAGAGATAATTCTAAATAATACAAGTTACTACTATTTAAACCTGACATCTGTGCATACTTTGTTAGAGGCTACTCTAGTTATCTACTGCTACATAACAAACCACGCTGAGACTCAGTGGCCGAAAAGAGTAACTATCTTTATGGTTCTGTGAATTAGTTAATAGCTGGGGACTTCTAACTTGGGGTCTCATGAAGTTGCAGTTGGACAGTGGCTGGGACTGGAGTCATCTGGAGGCCTGACAGGGATGGATGATTAAAATGGTTAGCAGTTGATGGCTGGCTGTCAGCCAAACCAAGTGGGGCCATCAGTTGCATACGTCTTGAGTTTCTCCCAGAAAGGTGGCTGGATTCCTAGAGAGAGCATCCTAATAGCACATGTTCTACCTAGGTATACTCCACATGACTTCTTCTGAACTGTACATCTCAGAACATCATTTCTATTATATTTGATTGGTCAAGCAGGTCACTGAGTTCAGCCCAGAATTATGGTGAGGGTTAGACATTACCTCTCGATTCCTGAAAATTCTCTTTTCTGTTTCATCTGTGACTTGAGAAGACAGCATTAGAAGCCACAACTCCATGAAAGTGCTGCCCCTGTTTTTCTCACCCTCTATGAACTGTGTGCCCCAGGTTTATGCATAGAAAGATAATTTTGTGGATGAGCATATTTTTTCCTGGAGTGCCCATCCACCCAGTTTGCCTTGGGTAATTCTAGCGTATGTCTTCTGTCCCTGTACCGTGTCCACTTGCACCCCTTTTGTTCTCAGAAGGATACTTGCCTTGGATGAAAGTTACCCAGGCACTATGTTTTCGACGTTCTTTTGTCATTGAGAGGGTAATAGCCATAGTATACCTTCTTTAAATGCATGTATTACTCTTGAACCTTTTTTTAAAAATTATTTCATTGTTGTTCAATTACAGTTGTCTGCCTTTTCCCCCCACCACTCCCCTGATTACGGTTAAACCTTAAAAAAAATATTGTTTTGATCATAAATTTTTCATTAAATTATAGGATTTCTCAAAATATAACTATAGTCATACTATGCGTTTTATCGTTTTGTGGAAATACTAAAAAACTGAATTAGGAAAATGCACAGAAGTAGAATGAGATAGTTAATACTAAATTTTTGTGGGCCACTTCTATTGTTGAATGCTGCTAGTTTTATACACAATTCTGAAGTGATATTTTAGCTTATATTTAAAAAGATACTGCTGTGGTGGCATTCATAAAATGTTCGTCAGCACTTATAATCGTTCTGATTGGCTTTGCAGCTCTGTACTTTTTATTTTTTATGGCTCAGTAGCCAATTTTGTTTTGGTGCCAGAGATACTTTTGCCTTGGTCTTAGCAGTTCTTGTGGTAAGCCTTGGCCAAGTAGTTTGATTGTTACAGTATCATCCCAATGTGCCAGGGTTGCCAGTCTGGCCTTCTGCCAGAGCACATACAAGAAGCAATCAATGAGTGCATAAATTAGTGGAAGAACAAGTCGGTGTTTCTATCTTTTTCTCTTCTTATTCCCTCTCTCGCAACAGAAAAAAAAAAAAAGAAGAAGAATCAGCTGTGATAAAATGTCCAAACAATATCAGTGCAATACAAAGTGAAAGTTCCATTTCAGAGCCCCTTTCTCCACAACCCTTTCCAGAAGTCACCACAAGTTTAGAGTGGTTACTTTAAAAAAGTGGTTTATGCCCTTGGCTGGGTCACGTAGACCATCAGCCCAGCACTCCAGGGTTGTGGGTTAGATCCCTGGTCAGGGCACAAAGAAGAATCAACTGATAAATGCATAAATGAGGACAACAACAAATTGATCTTTCTCCTTTCCCCTCTTTCTCTAAAGTCAGTAAAAAATAAAAATAAAAAAGTGGTTTACAACTAATATACCAGAAATTTTACTTAAAAATTTGATGGTAAAGCAAGTATGAATTTCTAAAATGTTTATTCACTGAGTTGAACCATCATTGGATTATTAATTTAATGATTTTAATTGTAGTAGTCACATAATTCTCTTTATATATGGCCTTCACTGGTGTTTTGAAATAATAGTTTTGTGGTTTTTATGTCAACATAGTTTTCCTAACTGCAAATATTAGCATGGTGTCACACACTCTGGCTACTAAAATAAGTTCAACTGTGAAAAAGGCAAAATCGAAATACTAGTTTTATAGTGTATAAGTATTATCAGAATTACTGTTTTAACCATTTTTAAGTGTACAGTTTAGTGGCAATCAATACATTTATCATGTTGTGCAACCATCACTGTACCCATTTCCAAAACTTTTTTGTCATTCCAAACAGAGACTCTGTGCATTAATAAGAGCTTTGCGTTCCCCTGTCCTCCCAGCCACTGGTGACTGCTATTCTGCTTCCTGTTCCTACATATTCTCTTGTTTCAGGTTGTTCATATAAATGGGGTCAAGCAACATTTGTCCTTTTGTATGTTTAGCTCTTCAGAATATAGCTCTCACTTTTTGCCCAGCCTTGTGGAGCTTTTTCCCACAGCAGATGTAAGTGGACCCCCAGTCCCAGTACATAGAACTCTTCCTTCACAGAGTTCCTTCTACTCCGTGCTACAAGTTTTAGTTCCTTCAGCCTTCTGAATTCTGATTTCTGTCCGCTCAACTCGGAGACATCATTGTCCTCTTCTTGACATCTCCTTCTTGGCACTGAGATCCAGAACTGCCTTAGGCAGAAAGCCTGTATTGCTATCTGGAAGTGCCTCTAGGTAGAAGTTGAGGTAAATCTGGTTTATCTCATTTGTATTCCTTCCCAGGGATTATCATTATGCACTAAACAGTTACCTCAATATACAGGGGTAGGCAAAAGTAGGTTTACAATTGTGAGTATGCACAACACAGTTTATTCTTGTATTATTATTTATGAATTGTTATATTATTTATTTGTATTATAACTGTAAACCTACTTTTGCCTACCCCTGTAAATTTGACTTACAGTTTTCTAGTTTTCTGTTTGTTTGTAGCAGGAGTATAAGTCTGGTTCCAGTTATTCCACCGTGACTGGAGTGGAAGTCTTGGTCTGCCATTTTATTTTCAAAACCTTTTTCACAGATAATCAGCCTAAAGTGCCTAATTTGTGATCGCTAAGGAAGAGACTCTGTGAATCTTGTTTGAAAATTTAAAGGAACTTGTCACTGTGCAATTTTTCAATTGTGTTGTTAATAAAAATTAAACTTTTTTACCACAGTCTCCTTTTTATATAGTAGTCTATTTCCTGTTATAGTTAAGGGATGGGGGAAGCTAGATGTACTACTGATTGGTTGTTACATTTCTTATTTTTTAGACCTAAAGATTGTCTTCGGTCTATTATGAGGAGGGTGAACCATAAAGATCCTCACGTTGCTATGCAAGCTCTGACTGTGAGTGACTTGATTTTAGGTTCTACCACAAAATTGAGGTGAAATTGAGCCCTTTTAACTTTGAAATTTATGCTTTTAGCTTCTAGGTGCATGTGTATCAAACTGTGGCAAAATTTTTCACTTAGAAGTGTGTTCAAGAGATTTTGCTAGTGAAGTTAGCAACGTATTAAACAAGGTAAGGAACGTTATTTCCAGAAATGAATTAAGCCAGTCTTTTTTCTTTATACAGTTTATTGTTCCATTCCTCACATTTTAAATCACAAAGGACTAGTCTGTGCTTTAAAAAAAAAGCATAACTATCTAGGCTGTGTTTATCTAATATATATGTAAATGTTATGTTTTACTGACAGCTACTGATTTATATGATGGGACACCAAATTAGAGTATGTTTAACCTCTTTATCATTCCTTTCATCTAATAGATAAAAATGTGTATATCTCTGATTAAATAATACCAGTCAGTTTTTAGGCAGTTTTTGTAGCCACTTTTGTAGTCACAGAATTGTTTTCCAAATGTAGAAGTGTTCGGAAATACTGCCAAAACGTGGCACTGTTGTTTCATCTTGATGTGAATAAGGCCACTACCTGACCACCACTGGATTTTAATACTATACTGGTTACCTAACTAAATGTAGAATAAAGAATTCAAATCTTGCAATTTAAGAACTTTAAAACATTTAAGTTACTAAACAATATGCGAGTTCTCCTAGTAAAAAATGGTGCATTCTAAAGGTAATTATTTCTGGCTTTTTTGAGGGGGAGGTGCATTATGTATCAAGAAAAATTTTAAAGTGTTATAAGGGAAAAATGCCTTTAAAAAAAAACTAGTATATCAGGTTTTCATAGAAAACAGTACAGAAATAACATAAGAATTTAAAATTCTGTACTTATTTCCAAACATGATTATGTGACCATTTCTTTCTAGTTCTGCTTTAAAGTTAAGTTATATTATGTTGGCCAAAATGGTTGTTTGGTTTTTTCCATAACATGGCCGTAGTAGCACTTATTTGTCTTTACCTTAATTCGAAACAATTTTGTTAGATTTTATTGTGATAGCTGTCATATCAGCATGCATTTAAAAAAACTTATCAAAATTGGTGAATTTTTGTAAAGCTATCGTAATATTGAAGATGGAAGAAAATGCACAGCATTTTTGGCATATTATGCTCTATTATTTCAAGAAAGGTAAAAACAACTAAAACACAAATAAAGATTTGTGTAGTGTATGGAGAAGGTGCTATGACCGACTGAGTATGTCAGAAGTGGTTCATGAAGTTGTGTGCCGGAGATTTCTTGCTGGACAGTGCTCTATGGTTGTGTAGACCAGTTGAGGTTGATAGCAATCAAACCAAAACATTAATTGAGAATAATTAACCTTATACTATGCAGGAGATAGCTAGTGTACTCAAAATATCCAAATCATTAAAGTTATTGGTGAAAATGCAAAATGTGTCTTTTATTTTATAGAAAAAACTAAACAAACTTTTTGGCCAACCCAAAATATTTAGCTATTTTCTACTAGTCATGCACTGAACTTCAAATCAGATCTTAAATAATTAAGCAACTTGGGAAAAACACATGTTAAGGCACATTAAAAGTCAGGAACTAGGAATAAGAAAAGTGCACCATTTATTGTTTCCAACTTATTTTTATAATATTGGTCTACAAAGAACAAAACAAACTGTTTTCTTTGTCTCCTTGCCTAGTTGCAAAATACTATCAAAAGTTCTGTCTTTCAGACCTCCAAAGTAAGTTATTAAATATTTAATTTGTTTGAATTTGATGTGAGGTATTTATGATGATATCTTATTTGTTCATAATGAGAAAATAAAATTAGTTTATTTTTAATAACTAACTATAGTTACTTATATGTTGTCTATACACAATTTGTGATTTAAAAAGAGATCTACAACACTTCATGGTTTTTATTTTTAAGGTACCTATATTAAATCACTGGCCAGGAAATCAGTACTTCTTATATTAATTTTTCTGTTTCTTGGTATGAAAAACCTTAATGAGAACATTACTCATGCAAAAATTAAATAACAGAATCATGTAAATGACCTAGAATTCAGACAGATTTGGCTTACTGATATTTCTCTACCAGCTTATTTTCATAAGAATTGATTATTTCCAGATAAATCTTACTAATTTTTTTCTCTATTTTTAGGGTCATCCTAAAGTGTGTGAAAAACTAAAGGCCCTTATGGTTGAATGGACAGATGAATTTAAGAATGATCCACAGCTTAGTCTAATATCAGCAATGATTAAGAACCTTAAAGAACAAGGAGTTACATTTCCAGCTATTGGTTCTCAGGTATTTTGTAAAGTTCTCTGTGTGCTACAGTTTGTTTTTCTAAAGTAGCCATGTTTATTTAAATTGTTTTTCCCTCCAAACCCAGGTAGCTTTGAAATTTTTATTAATCATCATTGTCATCATCATCATCTCGGATTTAGAGGTGCCAGAAAAATACAGTGGAATATTAACGTCTTCCAGCTTCTACTTTCCCACTGTTTCTCCTTCTTTATAAATGAATTGAGTTAACATCTTGTAATTAAAAATTTTAAATTTAGTTTTAATAATATAGACAAAATTATTATACCAGGTAATACAGTCTTGTTAAATGCTCTTAATACTGTCATTTTATCTACAAAGAATGACAACTCAAAAAGCAGGATATCCTTAAAATTGAAGGATGAGTATAGAGGTTCTTTTGATTATGAAATTTATGAATACCTATGTTAAAAATGGGAAGGAGATATAAGGGAGTTAGTGGGAAGAGAAGCACATGCAGCATCTTTTCCCTTAATAAAAACATCTTTTTTCCTTTCTCCTAATAAATATGATTGACTGTAAGGCTTAACTTTCCTTTTCAAAAAAATATGTTATGGACCAATCTCTAATTTATGTCATGAAAAATGAAAAGGTATCTCTTATTCTTCTTATGTTATGCACAACTATCCTTCAGGATACACAGCTAATCAAGGGGGATTGAAACATGTGCTAACTTCCTGTATCGTCTTTCTCCACTGTGTGGATTGAGTGGTATAAAAGCATGAGCATAAAACTTAGTTGCCTTCATCCAGACTTACGTAGACTTTCTTCCCAAGGTGCTTCTAATTTATCTGTGTACTCTTGAACCATGAAGAACCAGAAATATACTTGGGAGGGGTAAGAAGGAAGGCTATTTTTCTCTTTATTTGAAAAAATTAGACTTATGAATAGTTTTATAATGATAAATTATATCTTTTAGAAGTATTCACTCATAATTGACAGTTCGCTTTTACTACACAGAATAATCCAATAGTCTTATGATAAGTTTCTTGACAATAGAATCAGTGTTCAGTTATCAAAGTACATTTGCTACAGAGAACCAGAAACTATAGATGCTTAGTGAAATTGCAGTTTCTATACCTGGAGAACCTGTTCTAGAGCTTGTTACTTAAAATGTGGTTCATTGACCATCATCATCATCATCACCATCTGGAAGCTTGTTAGAAATGCAGCATCTCAGTTGCCATTCCAGACCCTTGGGTTTATCATCTTCATCTTAAGGAGATCCCTGGCTGATTCTATATGAACATTGAAGTTTGAGAAGCAGTGCTCTAGAGTACGGCTTTCAGTGCATGTGAAAACTGCATATCTGTCCACCAAAAGGACGTATTTCTGTAAGAGAAGGAAGAAGAATTAATGATGTGTTTGATATGTAGCATTGTTCAGTTAACCCAGAATCTCAGGTAGTTGTGAGAACAATTTTAGGGACTCTCTAATGTAATCCCCCTGATTTTACAGATGAGACCCAGAATGGTTAAGTGACTTGCCCAGGGCCACAGCTAGTAGTTGACAGAACTGGAAGTAGAACACAGGCTTCCTGACTCTCAGTCCAGTGTTCTTTCCACTACACCATCCTGCCTTCCGTTTGATATAGAGGTTAGTAGATACATGTCTGTCTGGACTAGGCTTCTAAGGACAAGAAGTGGAGTGAACACTGGCAAGAGCATTTATTTATTGATTGGCGTAGAAATTAGGTTACTCTCCTGTTCAAAAGGTTCAGGAACAGTGAAGTTAAGAGTTATTTTTCTTCTTTTTGTCAAGATGTTGTAAAATAGGTAAAAGCTAATTCTGTTATAGTTGCTATCTTTTAGCCACAAGAAGTATATAAAATACATACAAAGTAAAATATGATGAGGTAGAGTGGTGATGTTTTTATAGTAGAAATGGTTTCTACTATAGTGGAAAATGGTGATTTTTTGAAAAGTGTATCATTGAAAACCCTGTTTGTAGACAACTTTATGTTTAGTGAAAAAATGTATCATTTAGGTTCAACTGTAGAAGTCCCTGTAGATTTTGAAGTCCCTTAGTTGTTTGTCCTTACATTTAGTCAGACTAGGCTTTTGTTGACATACTTAATAGAAGCCTTTGAAAATACAAAGATTTTTAAAGTATATTTTTTATCCAAGTACAGAAAAAATATATAAAAATATTAGGAAAAGTCATACATTAGTCACTGAATTACTTTTATGTTGCTGCGTTTTTTGTAGCGCTAATTTTTGACATGGAGTTGAAGTAATGCTACACTGCTACTGTATTTGGCTAGTTAATAAGACAAGTATCACTACTGCACTTGGGACCTGATGATAGAGAGGAACTTTTAAAAGTGTAATTTAGGAATGCAGGCCTTAATACACTTTGTTCTGCACTGCCTTCTGGACCAATACAGATTTCTTCAGTGACCACAAAAAGATCAGTTCTGTTTTCCGAAATGCACCGAAATGTGAAAAAAAAATTTATGCATCATGAAAAGGGTTGCCTCTGACCAAGAGTACTTTCAGTTTTCAGAGTCACATAATCGTTAAAACATTACAACAAGAGGTTGATCAGAATTGAAAGTGCTTCAAGTTCAATTTAGTGAACTATAAAAAGCTTTTTTCTAATCAGCTTTTCTAAAAATAAATGTCTGGTGCATTTGTTTGACATTATAAAATACACTAACTGAAAAATACAGAATTGTATTTTACTATCATATTCTGCCTTTCATTTACTCAACAATTATTTAAAAATTAGCATTCCATTTATTGTATTATTTCATGTAAAATGTAGAAACCCTGCAACAGTATAGGGTTTACCTGCTCTCCACTTCAGCATCTTATTACTCATCATATGTATGCCATCCATTATTACATACATTATAAGTCCTGGGAGACAGTGTTACACTTTTTGTTTTAAACCCTGAATGGCCTTCACCTTATCTGATTTTGAAAGCTACCTGTGTTAATTCAATCCTCCTAACATCTGAAAGTGTTGTAGCTGCTATTGTCCTCATTTTGTAGGTGAGGCACTTGAGGGACAAAGAGGTCAATGTAGCCAATGTAGGGTCATACATTAGATTGTGGTGGATTTGGCATTTATTCTCATGTTTGCCTGACTCCAAAACCTTAACTACCCATATCACAGTACCTTGTTTGAAAGTGTTACCAGAGGAATGCAGAGGAAGGGAATGCTTAACTTAAGGGGCTTATGGATGTTTCACTGAGAAAGTGATATGTAGCTGTTTACTGGGGAGTTGAAACTGGACAGGGAAAAATGCGGATGGAGTAAAAGGAGCCAGGGGGGAGGACAGTTTAAGTACATGCAGATATGTGTTAGAGGTTTAAAAAGTATCAGTAGGTATGTACATATATATATGTATACGTGTGTGCATGTCACACATATGTGATGCATACATGTATGTGTTGCATCCATGTGATACACACATGCAAACAGTTTCTGGTAATTGATAGAGTGGTTGAAAATAAAACTGTAAGATAGGCTGGAGTCTTATTTGCCTTGATTGCCATGGAAAAACTAAGGTCAGTGAGGCTTAGAAAGATTATAATTCCATAAGCGTGAATCAATTTATGTATTAATTTGTATACTATGTTATTTATAAAATATGTTTAAGATAGAGAGTAATATATTCCCAGAATTAACTTTCTGTATTTTGGTTTACCAAATAGTATAATTTTATGAACATTTATATGATATATAAATCTCAGTCCCTAAAGATAACATCCTGACTTTTGACCTGGAAGCAAGTAATAAAATATAACTCTTAAATACATATTTAAAATTTTAAAAAACTATCTGCTTTTAAAGTAGTCACCTACCTTCCTCTCTCAGCTTTTTTTCTTGTTTTATAATTTTTCTGGAAATTTTAAAGTCTATAGTCTTTCTTTTTTTGTTTGCGTATTGTCTGCTTCTAGTTTAATGCCTTTACACAAATCTGTGACAGTATTATTAGGCCGCTGGCTCCAAATACGCAATCGCTCTTGAGTCTGTTTTCTCCAGTGCTAACTCCTGCCCTTCTCAGGCTGCTCCAGTTGGATTTCTTTATTCTTCAGAAGTTTGTTTTGGATTGACAAGAAGGCTCTTACACCTTTGTAGACTAGATGGGGTAGGATATTTGAGGTCAATCCTCAAATATGGTGTTTCTTTTTGTTAGGCTGCAGAACAAGCAAAAGCCAGCCCAGCTCTGGTAGCCAAGGATCCTGGTACTGTGGCTAACAAAAAAGAAGAGGAAGATTTAGCAAAAGGTATGTCTTAAAGTCCCTGATGGTGGCAAGAAGACAGGTCTCTTACTTAATATTTTTGTCCCTGAGATATTTTAAAATAAAAGAAATAGGACTTTACAGCTAAAGCTGAAGGCTACTTTGTTCTCCTCCTCAGTATCACTTCTTTCTTCTCCCAAGGCGACTGCTATCATGTATGTCATTTCAGTCAATATTTTTACTACACAGTCTACTTATAAATATCCGTGAACAGTACCAAATACTTTTGTATCCCATAAATTTTTTTTTTCATAAATAGTATGTTCTAGGTACCATCTGCCTACAACCTGCTTTCACGTGCAACATTTGGGATCTATTCCTGATTAGACATTTAAACCAAGTTTATTTGTTTTAACTGCTGTATAATATTGTAGCACATTAATAAAAACATAGTATAATTTAGCTTCCTGCTGACAGACATTGTGTTTTCTGGTTTGTATTTTTACTGTTACAGAAGTGGCGTGCTACCTTGAGTTTCCTTGTACATGTTTGTTGGCGGGAAGCCGGAGGCTATTTTTTGTGACTAAAAGCGAAGTGTTATAGGCTCAGAGGGAAGGCACATCTTCCACTTGATTAAATAGTTTTCTTTACTCTTTCACCTGTGGTATATGAAAGCTGTTATTACGCCTAACCTCCTGGCAGCATTTAAGATGGTCAGAGTTTAAGTTTTGTGAATCTGATAGGTTTGAAATGATGTCCCATTATTTTAAATTGTATTTCCTTTACTCCTAGTGAGGTTAAGTTCTTTTTTGTATGTTTATTAGCTGTTTTGCCTGTCTCTTTTTCTGTTGAGTTTCTTTTAAAAAAAAACATAATAATATGTAGAAAGCCTTTATTTTGGATGCAAATCTTTGTCCTGTTTTTTTGTTTGTTTGTTTGTTTTTTTAAATTTATCTTTAGAAGGGAAGGAGAGGAGGGAGGGAGAGAAGAAACATCAATGTATGGTTGCTTCTCATGCGTCCCCTGCTGGGAACTGGCCCACAACCCAGGCATGTGCCCTGACTGGGAATTGAACCTCGATCCTCTGGTTCGCAGGCCTGTGCTCAATCCACTGAGCTACACCAGCCAGGGCTTTTTCCTGTTTTATATATATAGTAGATATCCACTCTTGATTTTTGGCTTATATTTTAACTTTGATAGTGGTGTGTTTTATCAAACAAATGTTAAATTTTGATGTAGTCAGGTTTTTGCTTTTGTTATTTTTGCTTTTTTTTATGTCTTAAGATATTTTTCCTACCCCAAGATCCTAAAAGATATTTCTCTATATTTTTTAATAATAGTTTCAAAGTTTTGTTTTCTCAATAAGGCTTTTATTGAGCTAGAACAAAGGGAGAGGTAAGAAGGGGTTGAGGGTTGATTTAAAAGCAGGGTAATCAAACCCTTAAGATTTCATTTCAGAGCCTGAGTGACACATGGTGATGACTTGCACTGGGGAAGGAGTGGTAGAGATGGAGGAGGGACATTTGAAATCTGTTTTCAGGAATTTGTTAGTTGAGACTTTATTCTAGTTATTCTAAATTCCAATTCCTAGACTGATTATGTAAGGATTATCTTTGGAGCAATAAAACACCAGCTCTCAGCTACTACGTTTGAAGCTCTTATTCAGTAAGTTCCCAGTGAGACTTGAGGCTCTTTACTTACCAAGTGATTTTGATTATCTTTTTGAGAACTTAAGCAATAGGAATACATTAAAAAGATAAAAGAAAATATAGCTGCAGCTAAAGCTTTTAAAATGGATCTAAGAGTTTATGAGCTTTTATTCCCGAGAATTATTTAAATTGTATTCATTCAGTAAAAATTCTCATCATGCTGTTCAGTGTTTTAGTTGGTTTATTTTTTTGAACTTTCAGTTGTGAATAAAATAGATGAAATGATTTTTGTTCAGTATATTATGTCAGGGCATGTCCTAATTTCCAGCTGCACTATTGAGAGAAGAATACTTTTTACCTTCAGGTATCTTTTTGTACGTGGATTATAGGTTATATTAACATGTTGGTGTTTTTAAACCCATTGTTTTCTAGCCATTGAGTTGTCCCTGAAGGAACAAAGGCAGCAGTCCACCACCCTTTCCACTTTGTACCCAAGCACATCGAATCTCTTAGCTAACCACCACCATGAAGGCCGGAAAGTTCGTGCTATCTATGACTTTGAAGCTGCTGAAGATAATGAACTTACTTTTAAAGCTGGAGAAATTATTACAGTTCTTGATGACAGGTGATGGAACATTCATATGAAGATATATAACATGTTACTTCCGTGTTTCATACTATTCCTGTTGGATGCCGTCACCAAATGCAATTAAAAAATGTTGATCCATCTATTTTCTTTGTATGATAGTTGCTTGCTTTGCTTATGTCATACTAGCTGCATTCTTATTTTGTAGTTTAATTTTTTTCTATCTATACTATCTAAAAGAGTTTTAATTTTTTGAACTCTTTTTAGAAAGTTTGTCAAGATTTTTAGAAAGTATGTCGAATATGTATATGTATTTATGAAGTTTGTAAGAAATACAGAATATAGTAAATTTATCATTTAGTGTATTGTTTGGAACAAATTCATTTTACATGGAGTTAAATACATTTTACATTATCATAGGGGAAGGGATTCAGTGCATCTTTCTTTTACTACAGCCTTATGCTTACGTGAAAATCATTACTAATAATGAAGTAATAAATTTTGCAGGTGGTTTTTAAAAAGAAATTCAAATAGATTTAAGGTTATTTCTGTAATATCACTGTATAATACAGTTTCTTGAGTGGAAGAAGATGAAGTTACATTTGAGCTGTTTTGCTGGAAATTGCAGAAAACCTTGATGATTCATTCATTTAAAATATTTATTGAGAGTTTGCTAGCTTTTCTTATACCACATACTGGGGTACAGTGGAGAACATGAGTATGTACCTTCAGGTGTGTTCCTTGTGAACATTTTGTGCTATAAACAGTGTTATCTGTCATATGTTTTTTCATGTGGGGAAAAATTGGCTGATACTTACTAGATAGAGCACTGAGTTAAGAATGGACACCTTAATTAAGATCATACCACATATCTTATTAACCAAAGATTCTTGCATTGGAGCCCATGAACCACCTGAAGTGGACAGTTCTTAAGTGTGGGGATCTCTTTTTTGGGGGAGAGAGTTCAGAGCTTATACTAGATCCTCAAAGCCTTCACCAGCCTTCTTAAAGCTAAAGAACTGTGTGTTTAATAACGTTTTATTTTCTCTGAGGCCTCATCTGTTATTTATAATAATGATACATTCATTTCATTCTTCACTGGATTGTTGTGGGATTTAAATCTGGTTAATAATGTAAGTTGAACACTATAAAAGGGAAATATTTATAGAAATAAAAGTCTTTATTATAGACTTTTTTGTTGTTGTTCTTCATAGTGATCCTAACTGGTGGAAAGGTGAAACTCATCAAGGCATGGGGTTATTTCCCTCCAATTTTGTGACCGCAGATCTCACTGCTGAACCAGAAATGAGTGAGTATTTTCTAGTCTGTCAGTGATGATAATCGATAATCCCCTTCTTAATGAAAATTAAGTAAATTAGACTTTCTGGAGCAGGGACTTTCAAATGTTAGTACTTTCAAGGTGTTTATTATAAATGCAGCTTCCTGGTCGGTAGATTATTTGCCAGAAATCATCTAAATATTTTAGTTGTCTGTCTACCAAGATTGTCTTTAGAGACTGTGGACTTTTTCTTAGGAAAGAAAACATGTATACCTATGCACACACATATATATGTACTATGTGCTATTGTAAAAATGCACATTGAAAAGTGTTAATGGAATTTATGTATTAGGTATTTTCATTATCATCAGTTGATAAAAGTGTGACAAATTCAGTGTGACCTCATAGAGAATTCTTCCTATTCAAGGGTGAGAGCATTTCTTGGATGTTCTGGCCTCACATTTGGAAAATGTGGCCTCTAGGCAACACCAATGGCAGTTCTAAACCCTCATGTCAGATCATCAGAAGTGGCCATAACTAATCATAAAGTTTTGTGTTTGATTTCCAAATCTTTTCCCACTAGGAGAAATAAAGTAGAAAGTGGGGCTAAGGAAGAAGTGTGTTACTGACAGGCACGGTGGTTGCAAGAGATGTAACTGGTGATGGTCTGTCACTGGTAGACCATTGACTGTATTTCTCCATAATCCTGTACTTCAGTGGATCTTCATAATAATGTTTGAGTCATTAAGATTAAGTCATGACCTTCCTCTGTTTAAGGAAACAAACATGTTTTAGTCTAAAAAGATTTCCATTAGTGACTGAAATATTTAGAATTTTCAGAGAATTTTTGTATTAAGTTGGTAAGCTACAGTTCATGACAGAATGTATTAGCTCAGCTCATCTGTCTGTATAATGACAGGTAGAAGAAATCAAAGTTATAAATTGCAAGATACTTAGGTCTTCTTTAGTTTACAAGAATTTTAAAAAGAGATCTTTGTGTCAGTCATCGTTTCATTTCCAATAACACAAGTACTGAACCTTATCCAGAATGCAAACTATATGTATATAGTTATAAATTATAAGTAAATATATATAAAGAGAAATAGATATGTTAACAATAAAGACATAATTTTCTTTAAAAACACGAGAACACTTCTCTTTTAAGAGAGGCTTTTACAACAAGCCAGGCATTACGAATCTTTGATAAAACAATGCCCTCTTATAGTTTCTGCCTCTTATAGTTGTTCTTTGACATTTATACAGACAGATTTCTGATACCCATTCTTCTTTAATGGAGTTCTTATTGTTAGAACTCAAACATGTAGAATCTTTTTTTAAATGGCAGTGTGTACTGTGATGATTTTTAGCCTGGGTTGTTGGTGGTGCTTATTTTTGTTTGTTTTTTGGGGTTTGGGTTTTCTTGTCCTAAAGCAGCTGTTGGAAAGTGTAGAATTCTTTTGCACTTCCGTTCAGGCTGAGATCCAAGAGCTCATGTAGATCATCTAGCCATCTCTTCTTTTTTCTGTTATGTAGCATTGCAGCTTTAAAATTAGTATTTCAACTCACCTTACGTGTTTCATTCACTCTGGAACACCTAAAAGAGAAACAGGAGCAGCAGAGCTTAGGTAATTATTGTAGTTCTCAAGTTTGGTAAAACGAGTGCTGGAGTGATCATTGTAGCATCATTTTTATGAGGAAACAGAAACCTACTTCACTAATGTGTCAGGTAGAAATACCTGGCCTTCTTAGCTTGTTTCTGTTTTGGAGACACAGTTAGATATTGCGAAAGCACTTTATCTTTTTTATATGTAAAGATAATATTTTTATATATGCACAGATAATGTGCACATACACATGTGTACATAGCAATAGTATTAGTTCCTATGAGAAAAAACACTGGGAATTTTTGCATGGTTAACTGTTGAGATGCGAAGTGCACCATGTGTCTCTTATGGGTAGCAGATGGTACAGTGGTGCTCTCCCAGCTTTCTACTTGTTAATAGCCCAGGATATAGGAAGCAGTATGTATAGCAGATGTCTCTTTATTCCCTCATGGGAAAATGAAATGAGCAGAAACTTCTTTTTATATGTAGAATTTTGCTTTATGGGACTTGGAAGGGATGAATTACACAATTTCCATTATATGTGGAATCACACAACACAGAATATATAAGTGGTATGACTTCTTGTTCTCAGAGTAAAATCACAGGCCAGATTCCAGTACTGTGGGCTAGTAGAGCCAGATAGATTGGCATTCAAGTCCAGGCTTTGCCGTTTGTTAGATTTCACCTGTGCATCAATTGATAATCTTTCTAAGCCGCTGTTAAACCTCATTTATGAAATGAGCATATCTAATGAGATTGTATTATAGATTCATTGCAGGAAATACATGTATTCTATTGAGCACATTTCATAATTTAATATGTATTATTTCCCTTCCTTAATTCTACCCTGTGCCCACCCCCTGCCCCTTTTTTTGATTCCTAAGAATTTTATGAATACTGACTGACGGTGTTGATGCAAGGGTAAAAGAGTTCAAAGAGGAAATTAATTTTGTTTAAGCTGTATTGTGCCTGGGTATTCTTTTGGAGAAGGTTAATTGCTATGTTAATCATATATCCTTATGTGTACTAATTAATACTATGTTGACTAGATTTTTGAAGTTTTCTTTGTTAAACAAAGGGAGTACGTGTTTCTGGCCAGTGGTTTTTGGATCCATTAGTAATCATTTTTCACCGCAAAGTATAACGTAACTAAAAAAAATACAGGATGATATAATGGAAAATTCAGATCCCTACCAAGACCACTTGTCAAATCCTCCGTGCTCCTGGGTGTCATTCTCTTAGTAAGTCATAGTGGCATACTGGAGGACATACAGCTAGCTTCCCCATTCATTGCACTGAAGTAGCATGGTCTGTCTATCAAATGAGATTTTTCTTTGAAAAGATGGGTAGTTTAAAAAGAGGATTTATTTAAAATTACACAGCTCATTTATGTCATTGTAAAACTTTGCTTTTTGTTAATAATTTACTAAATTCTCTTGTGTAATATGTGATCAATCTTTTTTTCAGAAATATACATCTTATTTTTTGTAAAGTGTTTTTTATGGAAAATGTAAAATATTTAGAAGAAGAAAATTTAAGAAATCTTGACATGAAGTAATGTTCTGTCATTATTGCTTAAATCTGCAAGCTAGTTCTTTAAATTGAGTCTCAGCTTAAGAGAAATAGTTAAAAAACACATATTCTTTCTTGAAACTTGAAGTGTTCTCAAATAGAATTTTAAATTTGTTATAAGGAAAAGATAAATATTGCATGTTTTACAGTAAAAACGGAGAAGAAGACGGTACAATTTAGTGATGATGTTCAGGTAGAAACAATAGAGCCAGAGCCGGAACAAGCCTTTATTGATGAAGTAAGTGATTTCTTCCATGAGAGTGGTTTGTACTTGGTATTGAAGTTGAAATGTTTTCCTTGTCTTCTTTTAGAAAATTATTAATGAATGTATTTTGTTTAAATAATACAAACAGTAGTCCCAATCTTACCATGTCAGCATATACAGTTGTACCTCATTATTTTAAAGTTCTGCTTAATATTTTATACAATGGATATATCATGATTCGATTATTCTCTTGTTGACACTAAGATTGTTTTTTAGTTTTTTTTGTGGGTTTTTTTGGTATTACAAAACACTGTTGTGAGATTTAGGGGGGCATGTATTTCAAAGAATGTGTAATTTTTACAATATCCACATTTAAAGCTCTGGAGATTATATTCTTGGTAACATTTTAAACTTATGATGAAAAATGAGATGTTATTTAAAATCTGTGATGGGATTTATAGATTTTCAGCTTTCTTTATGGGAGTCAGAAGCAGAATGCTAGAAGAGTTCTCTTTTAGAGAAATAGGTTGCAGAAAACTGCTAGGAGCCACAGAACCCAATTGAGTCAGGGGAAGTTAATTAGCATAAGAAAATGCAGGTAGGGTCAGCTTAGGAGTCTGTCTAGATACCTTATTTTTTTTGATGGTAGGTAATTTCTGTCGGGTGTAATATTCTGTAAACAATAAAAATTATTCACATAATTAGTTGCTCTTTCATTTTACAACCCCTCTCTACTTTTTTTTTCTGATATGTGCCTTCTTTTTTAGACTAAATGAAAATTGTGATTCTTTTACATAGAAAGTAGTACCTATTTCAAAATATAAAACTCTTTTGACTTCAGAAGTTTTCTTATATGCTGTCACTCTTGCTCTAGTAATTCATCTCTCAAACTGTTCTTTTATATAATACAGAATTTTTGTTTTGAGTTAAGTAACTACCTTGCTTGAATTGGTAGTTTTTACTTTGTTTACCTAATGTATGTATGTTTAATAGCATTATCATGTAAAAATCATACATGGAGAAATTTTGTAATTATTACAGTAGTATCCTATGGTATGTGAGATCTGTATTTTGTCTTTAAAACCTACATATAAATACTGTGTGTTTATATAACTTATAGAGATATTTATGTAATGATGGTTTCATTAGTCCCATTGGTTATTAACAACAAAAGATTCTGAAATAGATCTAAGTCATTGCCTCCCAGCCTTTCTCACATAGGAAAGTAGAGAAACCACACACTGAAACATCGCTGGAAAGAAAATGTAGACTAAGTCCTAATGGCTCCACATGGAAAGAAAACAGCTGTACTATAGCTGAGCTGTGTGTCAGTAAAACAGCTGTTGTATTCACCCTGGGAGAGAAGTAATAACTGAGCTGTTAGTCATAAGTAATGCCATCTTGAGAGAGAAGTTACACCTGTTACCATGTCAAGGCTACAACTACTTCAAAACAAAGTGCAGTTAACTACCATGACGTGAGAGGTTGAAGAACCTTTTCAATCTAGAAAAATACAGGATAATATAATGGAAAATTAAACTCACATGTTGTAAGTTAAAATGTAGTTCTATTTCTTTTCATTTAAGAGAATTTCTGTAAGCAGTTCCAAAAACAAGAACTTTCAAGGTTCTAACTTCACATAGTACTTAAATACCAAGTACATAAAACCAAAATTTGAGTCTCCGTATCTGTGAATTACAAAAGTTCTCTCTCCATTGTCTAATTTACAAAGTGAGAACCTATTGTCATGTAACAATTTGTTGCTATTTATATTAACTATCTAATTCCTGTAGGATAAAATGGACCAATTGCTACAAATGTTGCAAAGTACAGATCCCAGTGATGATCAGCCAGATCTTCCTGAGTTACTTCATCTTGAAGGTAAATCTTGTTTTTCATTTACCTTGCAAATAAGGGCAATTAGTTTAAATCTATGTTATTTAAAGAATCATTTATATTTCAATAAAATTGAGAATAATATAAAAAATATTAACATTTCTCACTCTTCTGTGACCCAGTCTCACATTTATAAACCATTTAAACTTAACTTTGGTAGTATTCACATGCTTATAACACTTTTCTATCCACATTAGATATTTTATTCAGAGTATCCAAATATTTTGTTCAACATTTTAGAATGTTGTAAAATAAATATTGGTATTTTAATATTTTTGAGATTAAGAAAATCAATTTTGGCTTCTCTGGTCTGTGATTTATTAATACAATTTTTATTACTCCAAGTTATATCTTACGTTTCTTGACTATGTGATATTCATCAGATATTTGCATTTTTTTCTGTGTTTTCTTACATTTCTTCAAATCTTATTATCTAAGCAATGTGTCACCAGATGGGACCTCTCATTGATGAAAAGCTGGAAGATATTGATAGGTAAAGGAACATGGGCCCTCTCGATAGTGTATACCTTTTCCCTAAAGTTCTCTGTAAATTGCGTACCGGGATAGAGCTGCCATTTTAGTTTATTTTATTAGTATTTTTGTTTATTTATTTTATTTTACTTTTTCATTTTTCTATTCTATTTCATTTGATTTACTTTATTTTTTTTTAATGTTTATTATTTTTATGTGCCAAAGGACTCAGTTCTCGTTTACTTGTTTTCTACTAGATGTGGGAGTTAGAATTAGACTCATCTCTTCCTTTATTTTTTAAATAAGGATTTATTAGACCTTCACTGTATTAGTCTTTTTAAAAAATAAAGGTTAACTGTTATAATCATGTTTTTGTTGTAAGCGTCATTATCAAAGCCCAAATGAGCCATCTGTTATTGTCTAGGGAACCCTAGACATTTCAAAATAAAGTCGTGTACAATAAGCTCTTGCAGCACAGTATCTAAATTTTAGTTTTGATTGTCTTGCAGCTAAAATAGAGGATACTTTCTGGCACAAGGTTAAATTTTTAATAATGTCTACTTACACCACTTTTTGCTATTTTTAAATGTTTTTTAAAAGCATTTTTTGTCTATTTATTTTTAGACAGAGGGGAAGGGAAGGACAAAGAGAGGGAGAGAAACATCAGTGTGTGGTTGCCTCTCACAAGCCCCCTATTGGGGACCTGGTCTGCAGCCCAGGCATGTGCCCTGACTGGGAATTGAACCGGTGACCCTGTGGTTTGTAGGATGGCACTCAGTCTACTGAGCCACACCAGCTATTTTACCCTTTTTGTTGTGTCTTATTATTTAAAACATTGTATTATTTGAACAACAATATGTTTCAAAGTATTGTATAATATTTCAGAAAACATTCAGAACTCTCAGAGCTTAACGTTAAAGTGATGGAGGCACTTTCCCTGTACACCAAGTTAATGAATGAAGACCCAATGTACTCTATGTATGCAAAACTACAGAATCAGCAGTATTACATGCAGTCATCTGGTGTGTCTGCTGCTCAGGTAAGCCGTTGAAACTCAAGTACATCATCTTAAATTCTCAAAATGGAAACTTTATAAGTAATGTTTAACATAGATTTTAAAAGAGTTTTTTACTTGACAAAAACAATGTATAGTATTACAATTATATCAATAGTTTTTTTCAGAAAAATGATTTTTCTGCAGGGGTACACATCAGACTTACCCATCAAATGTTGTGAAAAAATACAGATGCTTAGTGCCACCCCAGACCTGTTTGAATCAAAATCTTCAGGAGGAAGGCGCAAACATCTGTATATTTTTAAAACTTTATGTGTGATTATCTGGTTAAGAACTGCAGTTTTTGTCTCAGTAAAATTTCTAATTATTATAAATTCTTTTGAGTATCTACTGTTTTCAGTTTCATCGGAAGATGCTTTAATCTGATTTTACCCTCTGTGTTTACATAACACACGTAATGCTATACGGAGCCCTTTCCCTCTCTTCATCTCAAGCAACTGTTTGAAGAGTTCCTTTCGCACAAACTCAGTAAGGCCAGGGCGTAGGGAGTAATTAGCCAGGCACTCCATTTTGTCTATGTGCAGTGGTGCAAACATTGAATGGATTAATTTTCTCTGAAATGAGAGTCCAGAACCCTGGAGATGAGCAGTCAGGCCTGAGTAGCATGTGGCTAGATGATACCTACTCACGGGCTTTGATAATCAATTTGAGAAAAAAACCAAAAAACTCTTCATGTTCAAAGTACAAAAATAATGCATTTATGAGGACTGGAATAGCTGTGTTTACAATGAAGACCTTTTGGATTCTGGCATATAGTGAGTCTCTTAGGCCTTAACCAAAGTGCTAAGGTGATTGTTGTCTCTTGATGACCATGTTACCATCATAATAACTGGTAAGGGCCTTACTGCATAGATAGCAGAGTTCTATTCTCAAAACTTGTGAAACAGAAGATCTAATGAATACTACAGAAAACTAGAACATTATGCATATTTAAAACAGAAGTCTGTTTGGATTTAAACAGGTAGTTTTTATTTTCATTTAATCCTCACTTAAGGATATGTTTATTGATTTTAGAGAGAGAGAAAGGGAGACAGAAAGGGAAACATTGATTGATTGCCTCCCGTACAGGCCCTGACTGGGGATCAAACCCTGCAACCTTTTGGTTTACAGAGGGACACTCCAACCAACTGAGACACCTGGGCAGGGCACACATAGAGTTTTTAGATGTAGGAGTAGGCAGACAGTGAGCCAAGGGCCAAATCCAGTCTTCCATCTTTTAAATAAACTTTGACTGGAATACAGCCATTCTCTTTCATTTATGAATTGTTTCTGGCTGCTTTCTATGTGGGTCAAGTTCAGTAGTTGTGACAGAGACCATATGGCCCACAAAGCCTAAAATATTTACTCTCTGGACCTTTACAAAAAGGTTTGCCGACTGACCCCTGCTTTGGAAAGTTTGTTCTGTGTTCAGTAAACAGTAATTGAAGAAATCTAAATTGTATTTATAAATAAATGAAGTCTATTGATATAAAACAATGACTTCAAAGGCACTTCATAAACATCCTTTGGGATTTCTTTTAGAGAAGTACTAAAAATATCAATATGAAAAAAGAGTAATATTAGCATAAAGTTTCAAGATAACTTCCTTTACTGCTTCTGAGTAGAGATAGACACGAATTTAGCCAATGATTACCTGAGAATAAAATCATCGGAAACCAACTTTACTGGAAAATATTTTTCAAAATGCCTGTTAACAGAGGGTAACTATGAAAAAGATTTCAGGGATGCAGCTGTTCTTCGTGTAACCAAATACCTCTACAAAGAGTTTGGCATGCCTGTTAAAATCTTTAAAAAATCTAATGTGTGTTATTATGAACTGTTCCAGGTGTATCCAGCTCATCCTCAAAGTGGTGCTTACCTGGTTGCAGGGAATGCCCAGATGAGCCATCTCCAGACCTACAGTCTTCCCCCAGAGCAGCTGTCTTCTCTCAGCCAAGGAGCACTTCCACCATCTGCAAACCCAGTGCTTCCTAGTCAGCAGGCTCAGGCTTCCTACCCTAAGTAATTTCCTTATTGACTGTTATTTGAAGTTAGTGCTGTTAAATGCTTCAGTGCCCCTGATCATTTGTAACCATCAGAACAGGTTAAGAAAACTGCATAATAGATGTTATCACTGATGCCAGACCGTGAGCACTGTTTGTGGTCATGAGTGGGTTCTACAGGAACCCCTGCAGTGTTGCTGCACTAGCCAGCAAGCTCATCCTCTGTCTTACTGACTCATTGAACTGCTGTATTCTGGTTTTAACTCAGTCATAGCTTGTTTTTGCTTTCATTTGAGTCTGTGATGGTAATTGCTAAGGGCTTTAATGAAACCTTTAATAGCTATATCATTTGCCACGAATTTTGTAAAAAATCAGAACATTTTCGTTATTATTATTGTGTCAGTTTATGGTTCTGGGTCATCTCTGAAAGATAAATGTTTCCTTTTTTGACCTGTGTTGGAATTTAGTATATATCACCGCAAGCTAAATCATTTGAAAAGAGACAGTTCAAGAAGTTACTTGCCCCTGCGGTTCATAGGGCAAGTATCTGAATGTAATAGTGAGAGTCTCTTATGCCTTAACTGAAATGCTGAAATGATTTTTGTTCTCTCTCTTGCTGATTGTGTTACTGTCTGAACACCAGGTAAGAAAGAGCCTTATTACTACATAGATAGTATAATGCCCTCTATGACGTAGTTAAATGATTTTATATTATGTAAAATAAATGCTTTTTCTGCTTCATTGTGAATCTTAGCTGAAGTCTTTCCCTCGAAACAAAAGATAGGCTTGAGAGTTCATCAGTGTGTAATTCTACAAGTTGTTATATTCTGACTCAAACAGAAGTTTCTTGGTGGCACAGGCACAATTTCTAGAAACCTTTTCTTCAATATTGGAGTTGCCCTGGAATAATCCTCTACTGACTTTACTGTTATTTTATTCCTCCTCAAAAGAGTCACACTCTAGCCCTGGCTGGTGTGGCTCAGTGGATTGAGTGCCATCCTGAGAATCAAAGGGTCACCAGTTCAATTCCCAGTCAGGGCAAATGCCTGGGTTGTGGGCCAGGTCCCCAGTAGGGGGTGCGAGAGAGGCAACCACACATTGGTATTTCTCTCCCTCCCTTCCCCCTTCTCTAAAAATAAATAAATAAAATCTTTTTTAAAAGTCACTCTAGGGATGCTTAGAGATTTGCAAACATTATTTTGTGGTCACATCTAGTATTGTGAAGTGACCTTAAGAAGGAGGATAATAAGAAGGTCTATTATGACATCAAAAAGCAGGGTACACCCTACTAAGGAGCTCAGAAAAAAAAGTTAGGTGTAGCTCTTTTGTCCCAGGACCATTTTTTAAATTGAAACTTGGTGCAAGTGAATGTGCTTATACAGAAAAGAAGTAAACAGGTAGGGAACAGCTATTAGAAGAGTAGCATGCTGTCTTAAAAACCAGATACAGAGTGAGTAGAGGTAGGTGCTGGAAAATTAGCCAGTGTGCATGAGTTATGTAGGTACCGCTTAGATATCTTGGTATCATCCAGAAATACTGCCTCTTTCCCAGCTAGTCTTCTGTTACTATCACATTCTGCTCTAGCTACCTTGTTCCTGGAGATTATTTGAGATCTTTCTTAGTTCAGGGTCTTGAGAAATTTCCTTGTAAGTGATAGACTCATTTGCTGAGTGTTTAACCATGCCATGCCATAGAGCTGTAACACCTGGTTGCTCTTCTTTTGGGGGTTTTCTGTCTGCTTTTGCAGTCTGAATGTCAGATCTCTGGTGCAGGGCCTGCACCGTATTCCCTCCTCTGACTCTGCTGATGCACTGTAGCTAGTAATGTCATCTCTCAAACACGTGTGCACTTCAGCAGTTACTTGTGCAGGTAGAGAGCATTTCCTTGAAATCTTTAGCTCTCTTTGGCTAATCTCCTATATATTTGTTCATAGCTTTGTTTTCACTAGAACACCTTCCCACCACTCCAGCCTTGTTCTGGCTCTTAACTGTCACAGGACCCTGGCACACTATGTACTGTGCTGTAATCACCTTTAGACTGCCCATATCTGCACTAAGCTATAGTATCAGGAGAGCCGGAATTGAGTCTTTTTACCTTTGTATTTGTGCTGTGTAGCACAGGGTTTTACACCTGGTAGTCACTCAGTAAGTATTTGATAAATAAATGTTTAAGATGAGGATTTTGAGTGCTGTGTTAGGCCAGTAGGATAGACTTTTAAATTGTTTACAAAGTCTTCACAAAAGGCTTTGGGGCAGTTTTTTAAAAGATATATAAATGTGTAACATAATATGTAAGAACAATTAATAACACAGAATGGGACAAAAGTAGATTTACAGTTGTAAGTATATGGAACAGTTTATTCTTGTAGTACTATTTATTAATTAGTGTATTATTTTCCATTTAAACAACTGTATTTGATTCAAACTTTGTAATTACAAATTGGGGATTTCTTTTCTTTTTCTATTTTTGCTGGGCAAGTTTTTTGTTGTTCTAGTTCATATATAGGAGGTAATTCCTTATTTTTTTACATAAAATTTTGGTGCTAGCCTTATCACTTTTCCAGACCCTGTCGCCCTAGGATGATCTTACTGATTAATTGGGGAAAGTAGTATGGAGGCAGCTTCCACAGCCCCCCTGTACTGATGGTGATGTGGGTAGTACTCAGGCAACCAAAGCTATGTACGTATTGGTCTGTTATTTCAAGTTACTCTGTTGAACAGATGTTTATTGAACATTAAGTGCATGCCACACACTTACGCTGGACACTTGACATACAAGTGTGAGTATCTCCTCCAACTCCAGCTTTATTGAGACATAGCTGACATGCAGCATTATGTAGGCGTAAGGTGTAAGACTTGATTCAGTACATTTCTATGTTGCAAAATGATTACCACCATTGCATTAGCTAACAACTCCATCCCACTGCATAATTACCTTTTTTTAATGGTGAGAACATTTACTCAGCAATATTCAAGTACATGATAACAGTATTATTGGGTAAAATCACCGTGCCGTACATTAGATTCTTAATTTTTTCACCTTATAAATGGAAATTTGTACCCATTGTCTAGTATCTCCCCATTTCTCCCTCTCCCCAGCCCTTGGTAACCACCACTCTACTCTGTCTTCGTTTGACTTTTTTAGATTCCACATATATTCGTGAGGTCATACAACATTAATCTTTCTCTGTCTTACTTATTTTACTTAGCATAATGCCCTCAAGTCTCATCCAAGTTGTTATAAGTGGCAGAAGTTCCTTTTTTTTCTCATGGCTGAATAATATTCCAGTGTGTGTGTGTGTGTGTGTGTGTGTGTGTGTAATGTATGTGTGCACACATGCACCACATCATTTGTACTCATTCATGTGTTGATGGACCCCTCGGTTGTTTCCATATTTTGGCTGTTCTGAGTAATAGTGCGGTGAACACGGGGATGAAAATCTCCTGTAAGATCCTGATTTCAGTTCTTCGTGATATATAGTCAGAAGCAGAACTGCCGGATCGTATGATAGTTTAATATTTAATTTTTTGAGGAACCTCCATACTGTTTCCCAAGTGGCTGCACCAATTTACATTCCCACCAGCACTGCACAGGGTTCCCTTTTCTCCACATTCTTGCCAACACGCAAATACTTGTTACCGCTTGTCTTTGAGAACCGTTCTGACGGGTCTTAGTGTCTCATTTCCGTCATGATTAGTGATATGGAGCATTTTTTCTTGTCCCATAGGCTGTTTGCTTTTGGGAAACTGTATATTCAGTTTCTCTCTTTTTAATATGGTTGTTAGTTTCGGTACTAGTGAATCATGTTGAGTCCTTTGCATATTTGCATATTAATCCCTCACTATATACACGATTGGTGAATATTTTCTCCTATTCCATCGGTTGTATTTTAATTTTGTTGCTTGTTTCCTTTACTGTTCAGAGCTCTTTAGTTTGGTGCAGCCCCAGTTGCTGAGTTTTGCTGCTGTTGCTTGTGCTTTTGCTGTCACATCCGGGGAATTGCTGCTGAGATCAATGTCAGGGAGTCCTTTCCCTGTGTTTTCTTCTAGGGTTTTATGGTTTCAGGTCTTATATTTAAATCTTTAATTCACTTCAGGTTCCTTTTTTTGTGAGTGGTGTAAGTCAGGGATCCAGTTTCATTCTTCTGCATATGGTTAACCAGCTCTCCCAACACCATTTATGGAAGAGACTGCATTTCCTCTTGAGTATTCTTGACTCCATGTTCATAGTAATTGACCATTGATTTAGAATTTCTTACTTCCATGTACTTACTGGCTAGTAGAAGAAATCATACAAATAAATTGTAATTATAACATAAATTACAAATAAAGGTACATGCAAGGTACTTCAGGAGCCTTGGGGTTCAGGGCAGGTTCCTAAGAGATTAAGTTCAAGCTGTGTTATTCTTAAACCTAGAGGAAAAAAGTAAGAAAGATTTTTTATCATGAGCAAACATATGGCAATATGAAATGATATAGTCCCCATGGGGAACTATGAAAAAGCATGTTACCAAAGGGTTAAAGTCTGTGGTGGGAGAAGTGAGAGATACACTTGGACCTATTGACAAAGATAATGAATGATCCTAGGTATCATGTTAAGGAACTGGGGTCTTTTCTTGGAAAGCCCAAAGAGGCCTTTAAATGGCATTAACATAAGCTAATTCATAGTTTCCAGATTAGAAGCTGGGAGATTATATTAGACAAGAAATTATGAGTGTCTAACTGCAAGATATAATGATAGAGATGGAAAAAGTTGCTTAGTAGATTAGCAAATAATATCATGTGGGTGACAAGGTGGGGACATAGTGCAGAGCAGATATGAAGGAGAAATTATTGGGCGAATTGCTGGGTTTTGCCCTTGGGCAACTGGGTGAATGAGTGGTGGAATTATAAGTTGAGATAAGGAATATAGTACACTGCAAATAATTACAGTAATAACTAACATGTTGTGGTATTCAGTAAATGCTAAGTACTGTACTATAAGCTTTACATATTAACTCATTTATTCTAATAATCTGTGAAGTAGTAGGCCCACAGTTATCACATGTTATAGAAGAGAAAACAGGCTTGGAGGGTGGACCAAGGTTCCACTTTAACTAAGACACAAAACAAGGCATTTTGGCTCCCAGAGCTTTAGCACTTAGCCCCGACTTGATGTTATAGCAGTATTGTGGCCCTTACTGATGCAAATAATTTCATGAAATCTGACTTCCTGTAATTCTTTTTATCTCCTAAAGTAGCACATGTGGAATGGTAATGCCTTTAAGCTTAACTTAAGTGGCTGCATTAGTTGGTATAATGTAGGACTTCAGTATAATGATGAATTGTTTAATTTGCGTACAGTGCTAGAACATTGAGTTCACCAGCAATTGATTTATAAACAATCTAGCAACTGAATAAAAGTTTCGAAATGGGCAGTGTTTTGAAAATTGCCCATTGTGTAGTTTTACATTTTTAATAGAAATGTGGGGAACATCTCAATGTTAGAGCTGTTAGTACTTCTCTTGATACAGTTAAATTAGTGTCTTATACATGGTAAAAACTCCAATATCAGGCCAGGAATGGGAAGGAAAGCAGAGGCAGTGAACAAAGACAGCTGAAGGAATCTTTTTGGTGAAGTGGGAGCAGTGCGCCAGTGGAGGGCGCCTTGCATGGGAGCATGACAGCTGATCGGTTACAGCAGGGTGAGGGGGGGGAGGCACAGAGTGTGAATGGGTGCAGGAACAGATGATTGATAAAAGATGGTGGGACTAGATGAAAGGTTTCCTTTATTTGCTTCTGTATTTTCAAGGAAATAAGAAAAACAAGGTTATCAGACTTTCATGTCCCCTAGTCCACCAGAACTGCTCTTGTGAAGGACTGGTGATTTCCATATTGCCAGATCAAATGGCCACTTCCTTTTTGAAAATCTTTACTTGGCTCTTACAGTTTTTTTTAGTTTTTCTTCTACTTTATTGTCACTCCTTGGTCTTCTTTGCCTAGTGCTTCTCTATTTTCCTGATTGCTAGGTGTAGGGCTTATAATATGGGCTGCTTTTTTCTCTGCCCTGGGGGGCATTACCTGGGGGGGCGTCTTATTCAGGCCCATGACTCTGAATACTCTGATGTGTATGCTGATGACTCCCAAATATATATTTCTAGTCCTAATTCTCCCCTGGTCTCCGGACTTAAATGGCTGACCATCTACTCATTATCTTTTCTCATACACTTCCTAGATATCTCACTTAACATGTCCAAAACTGTGCTGATTATCCTTCCCCAAACTTACTGTCATCCTTATCTGCCATCTGTAGTCTTTTTCAGCAAATGACCACTCTTATCAGTTATTTGTACCAGGAATGTGGTTCTAAAACCTCAGTCATTCTTGACCTCTAGCAAATTTGAAGGCACTGCCTTCAAAATCTTACCCTTTCTTCCCTTCTTCACCTAGTCCACCATGGCCCTAGCCACCTGTCAGCTCTTACCTGGAGAGCTGTAACAGCCTTCAGTCAGATACCCTCACTTCTCTCCTTTGCCCACAGTGCACCTGTTAAAACCTCAGTAAATCACATCATTTTTCTGTCCAAAATCAACCACTGTCTTTCCATCTCACTCAAATACAATCCAGAATCCTTGGTATGGTCTATCTGGCACTGTATATTCTAAGGCTTCTTTCCCCTTTAATCTGCCACGTTGGTGTATACTATCCTCCTTGCTCATCATGACCTCCTTTCTGCCTTTCTGGTCCTTGAACATGCCTGGTATTTTCTTTTCTTGAAGGATTCTATGCTTGCCATTCTCTTTGCTTGATCAGCTGGTTTTCCTATGTAGTTGATATGACTCCCTCTCGCTTTTTCCAGGTCTCTGCCTAAATTTTTCCTTAGAAGGCATCTAAAATGCCTTCTCCCACCACACTGTATATAAGGCAGAGTCTCTTAGGAGCTCTTGGTCCTCCTACTATGCTTTACTTTTCTTCATACCAGCTATTACTACATAACATATTATACATTTGTTAATTTTTTTCCTCCTGCTAGAATGTAAGTGTCATGACGGTGGGGACTTTATTTTCCTTCTGATTTTTTACTATCTCAGTGCCTAAAATAACTGTGTTTGATGTATTATGGGTATTTAATAAATATTCATTAATTGAATGGATTGAATGAATGTTTAATGAATAGCTTCTCCTGTTTATTATCAAATGGATATTTTAGTCAATACTGATCTGTTTTTTCCCTTCCGCAGCACAATGGTCAGTTCTGTTCAAGGAAACACATATCCCAGCCAGGCTTCAGTGTACAGTCCTCCTCCTGCTGCTGCTACTGCTGATGTCACTATATACCAGAATGCAGGAACTAGTATGTCCCATGTGCCAAACTATAACTTAACATCCTCAGCGCTGCCTCAACCAGCAGGCAGTCAACAGCCACCTCAGCCACAGCAGACATATTCTCAGAAGGCTCTGCTATAGGATTTGGGATTCCTCTTCGATCTGCTAAATGCCGCTGACAATGTTACGTGATTCTTTGATATCTTAAGGGTTGTTTATCCTCAGCTTATAGGCATCTGTGTTGGTCAACAAGTTCAAATATTCAAGACATTAGAACTCTCTTCAATTTGCACTGACTTTTTAGAGGTTTTCCCCTTCCCCTCCCCAGAGGAATGAAAACTACTTACAACATTTAATTCCTTTCATAATATGAAAGAATTGAGAAAACATTATTTGTCTCATAAAATTACCTGGTCTGCAAAAAGTCAAACTTAAAACAATTGTTGTGGCAAATGTTATGTACATATATTCCTATGTAAATTCATTAGTGGCCATTTCGAATCACAATGGTGATCATGTGAATATATTTAACACTTAAATTAATTTACATTGCTATTTTATTTTAATCATGAACAACTACCATGTTTCATAATGTTTTGTGTAAATTTAAGATAATTACACTATCCTTTTAAACTGCAAGAGAACAAAGCTGTAGCATATTTACGTGAAGGTATTATGTTGTCAGATGTTTTTGTTTTTACATTAAACCGAACTTTCCTTTGGCTGATTGTGAGATAAACGTATGTACCTTGTGTCTTTCTGTAGCCTCTGCGTACCACTAGCTGTCATCACACCAGCATACAGTAGCTAAATTTTTGGTGCAGTTACAGCAAATGGTGTTCCTTTTTAAACTTACACATTTTGGCATGATACTTCAGTGTATTGTGGGACCATGAGACAAAATTAATAAGTGGGATCACATTCTTTATATCTTATTTTTAAAGAAGTAATGTTGATTTACTTTTTTCCTTGTTGAAGATAGTAATTAGATTTATAAACTGTATACTGTGTCTATTGGTGGCAGTGACACCAAAGATAGAGGCAATGGACAGAAATTTTTAAACTGGAAAGAAACCATGAATAACACTACATTTTCAAAGTCTCTTGTAATTACTTAGGATATTAAAAAAAATGATTCATTGTCTTATTCCACTATTAGTCTTTTAAATATGTTTTTAACACATTGTATTCTTTAATTCTTCATTAAAATCAATATAAGCAAATATTTCAAAGTAATCAATATTCCTGCCTTTGCTTAACAGTTTGTACGTTTATTCTTATCTTTCAAACTGGATGGGGCTGTTCTCTCTCTCGTTTTAAAGTTCTGATGGATTAAGTTGGCTTCCTATTCAGGAGTATTTTTCAATGAATGCCTTTTATTTTTAATGCACATGCAATGTTTTCCACTGACATTTTAATCTTCTTGAATATTTAGTATTTTCTTGGTTGTGCTATACTATCAACTGAAAAGTTGAGCATCATATTTCACACCATAAATGAAAATTTTATGATCGGATAACGTTTTCCCTTCCCCTTTGACAAACGGTTCCATCTTTACGAGGAATCTTAATGGTGATTGAACTTTACTTTCAGATTGAAAGCACCATCTTCAGTGTAAGTGTTTTACCCTGGTGTTGTGTTTTCCAACTTTAGAGTATGATGCCCTCAAATAGAAATTTTTTAATTTGAATTCAAAATTTATATTTAAAATTTTTAATCTGTAGCTATTTTGATAAACATTGTCAAACAGATTGTAATTTTTATTTCAATTCAAATATTCTGGTTTCACTGATATACTTTTTTTTTCCATTATAGTGTATTTTTGTCTTGGTCTTTTTCATAAATTTCTGTTTATCATTGGTGAATGTATCATTTCCCCATTTTATGTTAATATCCTTCATGCTTCCTTTATGCGAATATTTCAATTACATATTCTCTTACTTTGTACTACATAAAAGTCTAAGAATGGTAAAATTGAAAAAACCTACCCTTATTACTATATATATAGTAATATATATATATGTTACACACATATACACACACACATTTTTAAACTTACTATATTAGTATGCTTATAAAGGTTTTAATGATGAATACTTAATACTGATAGTATATGAATTTGTGCTTTTCATTTGTTAGCTGTAAAAATGCCAGGTGGGAAAACTCCAGGGAAAAGAAACCGCTGGATTTTCTGTCCGTAGATGACGGGGGAGGACAGAAATAGGGAAGGGCCAGTCAGGAGCACAGTGCTTTTGTATGAGCCCGGTGTTGCATGTGTTGTACTTTAAAAAAAATCTCTAAAATATAACAATCTTTTTTTTTTTAAAGAATGGTTTATAAAATGAACTAACTATAATGTGAATTTCTGTGAAGGAGATTTTACTTCTTAATTTATTTTGTGTATAAAGTTTTAAGTGTGTAGCCATACACTAGTGACATCTAAATAAAAATTTAAGTTTCATTACTACCTAGCATAAATAGCCACCACAGCCCATGGCCAAGGATGTGATAATATAATAGTGCCCGAAACCTACTAGGAGCAGCGTGTAGTGTGTTCCATGCTGTAACTTGGCAGTGTTTTCTGTCTTCTTCACTGTTACCGATCTCAACTCAGCGAGGGATCTCTTTATATTAAAAATTTCTGCCCTGGCTGGTGTAGCTCAGTGGATTTGAGCACGGGCCTGGGAACCAAGCAACCACGGTTCGATTCCTAGTCAGGGCACATGCCTGGGTTGCAGGCCAGTTCCCAGCGGGGAACACACAAGAGGCAACCTTACACTGATGTTTTTATCCCTCTCTCCTTCCCTTCCCCTCTAAAGATAAACAAATAAAATCTTAAAAAAAAAAAATTCTGGGGCTTTGTTTCTATAACTCTTAATTTTTGTACTTAAAATGCTTAATAGACCACTAGTATTCTTTTTTAGTACAGTTTTCATGTATGACATGTATAATTCAGCTTTCAAATATTTTTAGTCCAGAGCTTCAAGTTTATATAAGACAAATTAGTACCCTTTATGATAAGCTATGCAACTATAAAAACTATAAATTACTTGTTAAAATGAAGTCCATTGATGTAATTTAGCCATATTTTTATCTGTTTAGTACAGAAAGAGCAGTTTTCTTTTTCTCATACAGATTTCCTTGGTTTACTTACCAATTGTACTAATTATAGTTTCCTGTTACATCACTTTAAAAATATGTAGTACTATAGCTTAATTTTTTTCACTGTTGTATCATTTTCTAATATTTTAATTTTTATTGCTTATGCCCCTTAGAATAAAGTACGTAGAGGAAAACCACCTAAATAGTTTCTAAAGGCCTTTGTCTGGTTATCATTTGTTTCGAAACAGTGGTCTGATGCAGCGCTCCTGCCAGGAGTGACCTGTGCCCCAGGCGTTTAAGCAAAGCTGTCCTGAGTTTGCTGTATACTTTTTTCATATGATCTTCCTTTATAAAACTTAGTAATTTTTTCTAAAGTTTTCCTAGTTTCAACAATATTTTAATCATGTTCTAGAGCCTTTTAAATCAGTGTTTAAAATCTTAGGTTTTCTTGCTCAAAAGAATCGAGCGTTTTATGACTGATAATTTAGGGTCATGCAGAACTTAGATGCATCATCTAGCTTCGGACTCTAGCTTCGGACTTATGCTAATACTTTCCACTGCCATCATTGTCTGTTTGCTGCTTCTCGTAGACACAGAATTGCTGATACAGATTGCATGTTAAAGTAGTAAGATTCAGCGGCCCCTGGACAAAGGTAAAAAAAAAAGGTACTGGTGTTAATGATCTTTTGGTGGTCAGAGACTTAAAAAAAGTTTTATGATACCTTCATCAGAAACAAATGTTTTTGAGTATATAGCCTCAAAATATGTATGTGTATATGTTTTTACAAATTGTACAAGTTTTGTGTAAATATGTATTGTACATTTTAAAACATACCCAAAAAAAGTCTTAAGAGGGTGAGTGAAAAAATTATTAATGAAAAAATCAAATATTTTTCCCATATCTCTGGTTCTCTTAGTCTGTGCCCTAAGATGTGTGTATACCCTATTTGGAGACCACTGTTTTAGATGTGAAAATTAAACAGAGGAAGGGAATAGCATATTAACTAAGTTGGCCCCTTGAAGTAAGAATCTGATACTGTGTAAGTTGTACTTTTCCCAGCAACTTTTTATGTTGAAGATTTTCAGACCTGCAGAAAGATTGAAAGAATAACATTGAATACCCACATGTTCTTTGTCTAGATTCACTGATTGTGAACATATTGTCACATTTGCTTTCTTTCTGTATGTTTATATATACATAGGTACATGTTTATGTGTGTAGTTATGCCTATATGTATACACACATCCTTAATTGTGTGAATAAACAAGTTCTAGACATTGTAAATGATACTCCTAGGTATTTTCATTATGTATTTTATAAGGATAAGTACATTCTCCATAGAGTAGGTATTGGGTTGGCCAAAAAAGTCTGTATGGTTTTTTCCATAAAGTAAAACACAGTTTTCATTTTCATGAATAACTTTATTGATTTGGATATTTGAGTGTGTCTGCTATGTCCTGCATGGTAGAATGTTGATTGTTCTCACTTAATGTCTCAATTTGATCACTATCAACTTCGACTGGTCTACCCAACTGTGGAGCATTGTCCAGCAAGACATCTCCAGCACGAAACTTTACAAACCACTATTGACACATTTGATCAATCACAGCACCTTCTCCATACAGTGCATAAACCTTTTTTTGCATTTCAGCTACATTTTTACCTTTCTTGAAATAATAAGGCATAATACATTGTATAATGTTATAAAATGTGTTTTCTTCCATCTTTAATATTAAATTGGCCATACAAAAATTCACCCGTTTTGATAAGTTTTTTTAAAAGTGCATCTGACAGGACAGCTGTCACAACAGTCTTACTAAAATTGTTTCAAATGAAGTTAAAGACAACTAATGCTACTAGAGCCATCTTACATACAAAAACAAATGAACTTTTTGGCCAGCCCAGTACATACTCTTGTATGTCATAATGGAAAATCATCAGAAAAGTTGTTTTCAAAATATTAAGCCAAAGAGGATAGATTAATAGCTAAAGAAGCTGAGTTTAGGTAATACATTTTGCAGTTTTTTTCAGAAGGAAACATTTATTTAAGATTATAAACTCTGAAGTGATATTTTCCATTTTTGACTAAGAGGCAAGTATTATTAAAGTAGCCTGATCTAAGTTACTGTCTTTAATAAATTAAAAGAATATAAGGAAATATCTTTTGAAAGTGATATTTCCTTATATTCTTTTAATTTAGTAATTCACAGCATTTTAATCAATTGCTTATAACTCATTTTTGTGACATTTATTCCAAGAGCTATTGTTTGAGAAATTAAAATTCTGTACAAGATGCTTACAGTCAACATAAGATAAACCTGAACATTGCCAGTGGTTTCTAGCAGATAACTCTTGCATATTGGACTTGAATTATAATCTTGATGAACTGGAGCTCATAGTAGAATACAGTGAATTCTGTTGTAATGCATGCCTGTGTTGTAAATGTCACCATGCTACGTGTAATTGTGAAATAAAAAGCCAACAGCTTATGGGGAATGCGGGTTTAGAGGCACAACACCAACACTTCAGCAGTAACACACTTAAGAATAAAGATGGGAACCTAATAAAATGCACGTTTTTATACATGTTACATGGTTCATAAACAAATGAATGTTACACTAACTATGGCACTTTACCTTGAAAAAAAGACGTGAAGTGCGCCTAAGGAAGTGGGTGCTGGAAACGTATCTCGTGAGTTACTGTGAAGGTGGAAGGAAGGACTGCTGAAATTGGAGGTCAAGTTGTGTGACACCTGATGTGGGTGAGTTTAATTCAGGCTTGGCAGTGAGCCCCGCGAGGTTGCTGGTGGTGATGTGAGGGTGTGTGTGTGTGTGTGTGTGTGTGTTGTGTGTTGTGTGTTCCTGTGTAGCTCAGTTCAGCTGGGTGCAGTTTTCTACATTTTACCTAATGTTTCTCCTGGACAAAATCATGCAAAAAAAAAAAAAAAAGGAAATTCATGCTTTGCTGATACTGTTTCCTAGAATTTCAATCTCCTACAACATGTTTGTGTTTTCCAAACCATTCTTATATCAAAATTGACTCTTTAGAGATGGAGAATGAATGATTACTCATTATTTCTCACTTTAGAAAAATACCTTTTATATCTTTAAGTAATTGATGAGCATGAAGGCCATCTAGGGTGCACAGCTTTCTTCCCTCTTATCAGATCTGAAAGTATTCCAAATAAACGTGAACACATTCAAAGAATTACCTATTTTGCTTAAATTCAGTCTGAGAAATTACATGCCCTGCAATCCTGCCTCTCCTCTCGCTCCCCCCCCCAAAAAAAAAAGGAAAAAGAAAAATTAAGGATGATCATTTTCTGAGTAAAATGGGCATAGCCATTATGGCATTCCCATTGATTTTTGTGAACTGTAGATCTGTCATCTGGTTGACTTTGGGTGTATCCCAGGTTTTCAAAGCTTATTAATTGCTTTCAAAATTTTTACATGTCAAAGCCCTAAATGGGGTAGGCTGTTAGGTACTTAGATACCTTTACAAATCTAAATACGAATGCAAGTTACTTACAAATGTCAATAGATAAATTGACTAAAAAATGAATAATAAAGAAACAGTAATGGGTCCACTAGTGTTGAAATTTGATATGCGATGTTTCTTGGCTGTAAGTAGAAGCACTGAGGCTGAACCGAACAGAGGCTCTAGGCTAATTTGATGTTTATTCAACATGATAATCCTTACATTTGTTTACCTTTATTTCACAGAGAGGCTACAACTTGTAGACTCACCTAGGGAATCCAAAGCCCTGTACTCATCCTGAGAAGGTATTAGCTACTAACGTATTGGAGCATCATGGCCTTTGGCGGGTATGGTGGAGGGGAGTGGAAGGTGGTTTTCTCCTCACCCCCAAGCACCCTACCTAACCATCTTTCCCTGTACAATCCTTTCTGTGGGTTTCAAAGTAAATACAGTATTTTCAATTCCTTATGAGTCTAGTAATTTTAAGTCTGTTAAATCTTAGTTCAGCTCCCGGAAGTACGAAGGTAAACTTGTTCTCATTCTTGCCCTTTCTTGCTTTGCATTCTTACTTGGGGAAAATGGCAAGTGTACAAAAGAATGAAGTAAAGTTAATCAGAAAAACATACCCTTTTTTCCTTGACATTTAAGAGTCGAGGGAAGAGAGCCTAATGAAAAAGAGGCCATCTCTTCTCTCTCAGACTGTCCTGTAGAAACAAAAGGCAAGTGTGAGATGAGATCGCAAATGGAAGGCTGAGGAAGAGAGATTCTTACAGCCTTTCCTTTCTGGGTGGTGTAGCTCCCCCAAACTTTGGAAGTAAAGACTATTACCCCTTGTTATTAAACTGAAAATGAATGAGCCATAGTAGAAAAATAAAATAAGTGTATGTTGAATACTTGTGGTTCAGCCAGGTATAGTCAACATGTTTTATTTTGCCTGCATAGAATTTTAAAAAATTAAGTAAATGTTATATATGACTGGGTAATTTTCCATGAAAGATAGTTTTTTGGCTTCCTGGAAAAAAAAAAAAGATGATCTAACAATATGATGCCTGGATTATTCTCACAACTGGCCGTGCTTTCTGGGTTGCCACTGAGCCCTTATTTACAACTTTTCATCATCCCATTGTCAAAGAGAACCAGCCACAAGTGAATGTGTCAGAAACTACTGCAATAGAGTAAAAAAGTGGCCTCAGCATAGATCTGGGCTCAAGTCCAAATGCAGTGAAGACAACTGGATGTATAGCTGAGGAGCAGAGCAGTGGGGTCTATGGATTGAAAGTGACAGAGGAGGCAGCAAGGGTAAGGGGATTCCGGCTGAGCTCAGGCCAAGGTAGTGTGATACCAAGGAGTGTGGGTGATTCTTGTGAAAACTAACTATTTAGGTCAGGCAAGTATGGAGCTAGTTGGGAACGGGGTTTAGAGGAGCCTGACTAAAGTTTGTTCAAGGAAACCATCTTGCCGCCACTTCGCTGTTCTGACCTCAGCCCTGGTGATATGTGCGGCCTTGATTACTGCTTTGAAGAGAGTGCATCTAAGGCTTCATTGTCCAATTGGACTGTTGAGCACTTGGACTAATGCAGTTAAGTAACTGAATTTTAAATTTATTTAATTTGAATTAAACTTAAAACCTGAAGCAGTGTAAAAATAGTTTAGCTGTTAACTATCATTGTGGTAGGGCTATATTTCACTGTAACTAACCATTGCATGACATAAAGTATTATGTGATGTGTTTGTTTAATTTTTTAATGTAACTACTAGAAAAATTAACATTACATACTTGGTTCAACATTCCATTCCTGTTGGGCAGTACTGATCTAAGCCTTCTAGGACCAGACTGTGTAATTCTTAAGACTATGCCTGGTGCTGTGTGTCCATTAGACTAGAGTGGATTCCCCACAACCTTTTCCTGTTGATGTTCAGGCCTTCGTTTAATCCCCTCCCTGTAAATGTGGGCAGGACTTATAACTTGCTAATAAGCAGTGGACTGTGGAAAGGTGATAGGATATTGCTCCTGTGAATATATTTTTTAAAGATTTTATTTATTTTATTTATTTATCTTTAGAGGGGAAGGAGAGAGGGAGAGAAACATCAATGTACGGTTGCCTTTTGGGCATCTGCTGCTGGGAACTGGCCTGCAGGGAACTGGCCTGCAACCCACTGTGAATATGTTTTATACGATTCGTCTTGCTCGGTGACTGAGCTTGGAAGCAGATCCTTCCTGAGTTGAGTCTTTGGATGAGAAACCCAGCTCTGGCCACCATCTGTTTGCAGCAGCCTGCAGGGGCCTAGCTAAGCTGCACCCTGGCTTCTCCCATGGAAACTGAGATAATCTATGTTGTCTTAGGCCATTAAATGTGCATTAGTTTATTATTCAGTAATGGTAAACATAGCCTGGGAAAAGAAGGGGCAGTGTAGAACTACAAGAGTCTAGCAAAAGGAGGCCTGGGGAGAATGAAGCTTAGCCAGTGTATTTGGAATACCATAGCCCCTTAAATAAAGTGTGCTCCTGGTAAAGCATAAGGCTTTGGTTCAGGGTACCTTAACTGCCCTTGTTTCAGTTTCATGCTCACAGGACACTTAGTTGAACACTTTTTCTCAGTGTAGGTCCACTTCAGAAAGAGTGACTTTTGGAGGTGAAGCCTGATGGTTTGTAGGATTGTGTAACTGACTGGACGCAGGCTCCAGGACGTGGTTACAGTTGGCCTCATCCTGCCTCCCGGTTCTGGTTGATTGTTTTAATTAAATGCTGCATGAGACAGGTTGCTCCCAGCCTCTGTCAGACAGCTTAGTCAGAGTGATCAATGGAATGG